CGTCGCTGCCACCAGTTGTTCAGAAATCCAATCAGCAGAAACAAGAAGGCGATGCCGATGCATGCAGCACCTCCAACAGCACCTCCGCTCAGCCTGCGCATCTTCGCATTTTGCGGGCACAACTTGGTACCACAAATGCAAGGACGGAATTCTGTTGAATCTCAACTAACTTGCACTGACATGTGTTCACTGTTCCTTTTTCTGAAGCTGCAACTTCTCTCTTGGCCCAAGCCCAAGGTGCCCAAATCCGCGCCTCATGCCTGCCAAGCTTATGACAGAAAATAAGAAGAACATTTCCAAGAAAACTAAATCTGATCTGACAGACAAATTATATATATATACACGTCACTGCCCCGGAAACCCTCATGATTGTCTGATGTTGTCTGTGACTTGGGTCTATCCTATTACCTGTAACAGCCGATGATGAATAGTAAAGGCCTTGTTCTAAAATAGTGATTCATCTATAACTGTCTACTGACTGTTACAGGTAATAGGACAGACCCTATCTGTGACCCTCAAAACTGAAACAAGGCTCAGTTGTACCAAGCAAACGGGGCATGATCTTAGTCAGTGTTGCAGATTCACAACACCAGTAATTACCCCTGGAAAGGCACTGCGCCACATATTTGACAGAGAGAGTCAATCACGAATTCTGCAGTCAATTGCCATTTTGCCCGGCATGCTGCAGCATCAGTTCCGGTTCCGTAGCTTTACGGCAAGACGGCCTGAGGATACAACCACCTTCTCCTTCTCAAAGTCGCCCTTCCTGACATGCGGCATTCAGTAGTGCGACAGTGCGGTTTCAATCTGGGATTTCACGATGAGGAATGTCAAAACTTGCGACGGCCGCACCCAGCACCGACCATCTCCATGCTGGAGACCTGCTGATAGCTTCCCATACCTGTTCAGATTGATTCATCCAATTCTACAAACATCAAGCATCTCAGCACATCTCAGCACATCCGAGCTCAAGCCTGCTCCCATATAGACCTGAGCAAGGCACGTTGTTGCTACAATCTTGTGAAAATGGTGTGGCAGAACGACTTTCAGATTGTTCTGCTCTTTTGCAAGGACTTGCTGACAGGGAGAGATATTGGTTGAAAGACGCATCGAATACCCAAGATTAAGCTTGCTGAAAAGCTGCCAACTTCTCCTCAGTCCTCACCGACTCAGGATCTACTTCATAACCTGGGAGACTTGGAGAAACATTGAGAATTTGAAAAAGAAACATCTAGCTCAACGAAGTCAAAACAGTCTTTACCTCTCAAGAAAGCATTTCAATTTCAATTTTCAACTTACAGTAGTTAGACCATTACATGATGTCTTGGGCATTCTGTCACAGTCACCCTGTGATGCACCTGACAAATAGAACCTCTTTGTGACACTTGTCCTCCTCGCATCTTTCAAAAAGCTGCCAAGAGACAAACACCGCCACAGCCTGGGCGCAAGAGGATTTTGCTGCAAGATGTCTAGTCACATGGGTTAAACTACTATCTTGACATGAATGTTCTTCAAGAAAAGGACTGTCATCTTTGGAGCGGCTATCCTAGCTTGCAAGAGAATTTGATGATATTCTACGTATACAGCCTCAACCTTCTCACAGGCTTGCGTTGAGACACGTCGTTGCGCCGCTGCCCCAAACACTCTTTCTAAGGCTCTGACCTGCCATCGAGCTAACGTGGGATATCTGCTCGGAAAAACTGCGTTGCTATTTGGAGGAAAGGTTTGAGCACTAGACGCTGCAAGGGCTTCCTGGTGAGACGTTGCATCGAAATGCTACATTCACGCAGTGGCCAAATACAATATCTTGGGCTGAGGCGGCGTCAGAATTGGAGAACATCTTGAAGGGTCGGACGATTATGGGTCTCATTGGTTTAGGGCCAGGGCGGAAGCAAGTTCCTTTTGGGGGGTCACCGCGGTGGCGAAAGTTTGTCCATGACTCGGTCTGTGACAAGGGCTTGGGTTCCAACAGGTTGGCTTCTTACTTTCGACATCTGCCTTCGAGATTCATGGGGATCCAGAAATCCAAGCCAAAGGTGATGGGTTGTGCGCCAAGCTTCCAGAGGACTCAAAAAACATTCACCAAAAGAAGCTTTCAAACGCACCGTCTTTCTGCCCTTTCACTTGGACAACAAATAACTCGGTCCAAGCAACTCAACCACTGAACAAGTGATTTGACATGATTCTACTGAAGCACCTAGAGGCCTACGAGATGCTTAGAGTTTAGGTAGTGATCGTATGTCAATGTTTGCGCGCAAAAATGACTTATATACTACACCAACAAGAAGAATCTGGAAGCATCATCAAGAATTCGGGTGATTTGCTTTTTTGCAGCGTCCCTTTACGTTGAAACATGGCACATCATGGCACATTGGCCACATGCTTCCGCCTCTTTTCATTGTGTATTCTTGGAAGCACGTCTTCTTTCGCGGTGGCTGGTGAGGCATGTGATCCAATTGGCAACAAAATCTGCTACAAACGACGAACTAAGATATAACATGATATAACAAGGATCGTGGACTTCCCTCCCAACTTGCTGGAACATAGATAGAATGGCGGCACCCTGGAAGACTGTGACCCCGTCTACAAGGTGGGTTCCTTTTTCGTCTTTTTGCCTTTGGGGTGGACTTCTACAAACCTGTAGCGCCCCCTTGTAGGCAGTGCTTCCAACAGCCGCGGTTCAGATCTCTGAAGTGTACTGTACCCAAAGGTCACATGGAAGCTGAGCTGGACCTATTGTCCATTGGGTCCTTGTACGCAAGCGAGCGCTTTCTGAAAGCGGTGCATCACACAGTGGACTCCTGGGAACTCTTCGCCATTTAAAAGCGAACCTGTGTTTTTGGGGTTCAGCCAAATGCGCTGAAATGTTGGGGATTTGCCACGGGTGGCACAGCAATGCATAGCACCTTCATCTTTTGGCCTCCGCCTCAAATTGATAGCCCCCACATGCGTTCCGTGTGTGCTCTTGCTGCGCCACTTCGCGTCCCCCGTCCTCCAATGTCCGGGGAGTGTGCTCCGTCGTCATCGTCCCGAGGAGCGGTTCGCAGAACCAGCATTTCCCTGCAAAGGTCGGTGGGTCCCGCGGAGTCCAGAAGTCTGGGAGCCATAGACTGAACCTTTCGCAACTCGGACTGGGACTACGCTATTAGGTTGGAAGCCGTTGCTATTAGTTGATATCATATGATATCATCAATCTCACAAGCTGAGGCACCTGGTTGAGAAGTCTGCTTGCTTGCGACATGCCCTCTTCGTCTGCTGGCAACTCTTCATCCTCGCCAACATGTGTAGCTGGCAGCTGTGACAAGTTTCAGGAGCAAGGACGCTACTAGGGGCTCCTGGCATCGCTACTAGGAGCAAAGGACGCTACTGGGGGCTCCTGGCCTTACTTTTTGAAGAACTTATCCTCTCTTATCCATCAACGTCAGATCTCTTCTGGCCTCGTCTATGACTCGTGTATAGTGCACTCGCCATCTAACTCCATCACCAATCGGCCGTGAGGCCTGCTCCATGCATCTCCCATCTCCATGCTACAAATCATTTAACAAGATCTACGTGCCAAACATGTAGCGATCATTGTTCCTAGTAGCGATGCCAGGAGCCCCTAGTAGCGTCCGATCGCTCCTAGTAGTAAGGCCAGGAGCCCCTAGTAGCTTCTTGTTCCTATGCGAATTGGTGCAGCAAACATCTTTGAACAACATCTGTTGTTTTGCCAAAACCTCAGTCCATGCCTGCGTGTGGAGCGGGATCCACCACCTGTGGGATGAAATGTAAGTGAAAATGAACCCACGTGGGGGCACAAAGCATGGATGTGTTTTGTTCCACTACCTACACACCACAAAGATTCTTACGTGGTTGGACTCTTCGTTCATCCCATAATTGAATCTAGCAATATCAAGCATTCTCAAAACTTTTCAACTCCTTCCGGGTCGTTACCACCCCCCATCCTGGCTGCACCAGTCGTTGCCACCAACAAAGAGCCCAAAGGCAGAACGTCGGATGAGTTGCATTCTTGTTTCAGCCAGGGAACCAGTAAGTCACGCAGCGAAAGGAGTGCCATCCATGGTACGTCGTTGACAAAAGGCGACTCTGAGAGCTGCACATCCATGGGTTCTGTCCAAAGACTTGCTCCCAATTCCTGTCAAAATTCGAACCCCCGGATTTGAATTTGGGCGGCGCTGTATATCTAAACAGGACAAATCAGAATATATACATAGTTCATCATAGCTCCACAGGTGTACACACCCTTGCACGACACACTACTCGCTTTGCATAAAGCATCATAAAGCATATTCAGTGGGTGCACTGATGCTGGGGTGGGCCGGGGTGTCGTTTTGACGCGGTCAGTTGACCCTCTGTGATCTTAAAGTATCTCATGAATAAAAGGCTGATTTCAAAAAAAGGGAACCGATACATCACAGTTCTCACAGTTCCTCCCACCAACATGGTCATTTAAGAAGTCGACCATACTAGACCATACTGGCCATCATTGAGTGGCTTTTGCTCATCTGTGCCCATGATCCAAACATGCAAGCCACTTATAAGCCATCGTGTGAGACTCTCCTGAAAATGAATCCTATTATTGAAGCGCTACTAGCTACTAGGGGCTCCTGGCCTTACTACTAGGAGCAAGGACGCAACTAGGGGCTCCTGGCCTTACTACTAGGAGCAAGGACGCTACTACGTAGGGGCTCCTGGCCTTACTACTAGGAGCAAGGACGCTACTAGGGGCTCCTGGCCTTACTACCAGGAGCAAGCACGCTACTAGGGGCTCCTGCCCTTACTACTAGGAGCAAGGACACTACTAGGGGCTCCTGGCCTTACTACTAGGAGCAGGGACGCTACTAGGG